AGAGAGCACATCCAGTTAGTCACAGTCAGAGAAACAGGACTACACTGGAAAACAGGCCAAGCTCCAACATCTAGAAACAAAGGTGTTGAACTGTCTTAACTAAATGGCTTTAAGTATTACTTGAGAGTTTGAATGTTTCCCTATAGCGTGTCTGAGCATCTCAACCAGTCAATAACCCTGCACCTCAATGGTGTTTGTCTCAACTATTTTATACATTCTGAACTTGAACAACCATAACTTAATCTCAAACATTTTTCAATTATCCATTCGTAGTTAAACGAAGGCAATGTGAGGAAACATTGACTTTGGTTGATCCAAATCTTATGACATTAAATAAGTATCAGAATATTGATGGAATGTTACAGACCTAAGAAGTATCAAAAATAATTTACATTGTAATTCAGTCCCTTTGGACACTTCCTGTTTATTTCCATCAAATGTGAAGACATTAAATATCCTCAGTTTACCTGTAATTAAATTGAGTACAAACCAAAGGTCGTCCCTTGAAGACGCCAAGCATCATCCATCCTCTATGAAAAGCATAAGTGGGACACTGATGTTCTCCAAGTAAACACCCACGTCTCTCCCAGTAAACCTCTGGATAAACCATCCATAAAAACCACAAACAGGTTCAGGGACAAAGGAAATTCCTGGTGAAGAGTTTATTCTTATTTTTAAATAGCAAGACTAGTATTTTGTTCTTAGGATTTCAACTTCTTGGTCTCCAAGAAACCCCCCCCCCACCACCAGCCCCATTCTCAGTAGAACAAGTGGACAGAGAAATATCCGATGCAGAGGGAGCACAGCTCTGGTTTAGCACAAGAAACTATATCATCTGCTGTGAGCGAATAAGTGAAGTTACAGACAGGCGCTGAAGTACAGCCATCCCAAAGGAGCTACACACTTTACACTCTGCTCAAATCTGTGTAGTGACGCATTATTGACACATTTCCTCCAACCGGTTAGTTTAAGAAACATAACAACAAACTGAAAGCTAATAACAAATTGAGCCTGATGCTAGAATCTGCAAACAGCCCATGGGAGCGTGCTCCGGCTGCCGGGTTTGCCCACATCTTTGTGTGGAGTCTCCTCAGAGAGAAGGAAGTAGAGCAGCAGCCTAGAAAAAAAAACATCAAACATTTAGCCACTTCTCATTTTTTCTCCGACTGATCATCGTTCTTTTAGGATTGCCAGAATCCCACAGATGTTTACTACAACTTGAGTAAATGAGGACTTTGTTTATTAAATATGAAAAAAATGTTTTAATAGAGAACAGTAGCTGTTTGAATAGAAAATATGATGTTAGGCAATTTAAAATTTACCTTTTCAGGTTTTCCATCTGTTCAA